CCGCATATCCCCTATTGAAAAAGTTATGAGAAATAAGTCCCTCAGATGCAGACCGCATATCACTGGTAGCACCAAATCCTGCAGCAGCCCCAGTTACCAGTGTATAAGATAGAACCTGTACCATGACTTCAACTCATTAAAATATTCAAATATTTTTCACGGTTCTACAGTTGTCCTTCATGCTCCAAGCAAATAAAAATTCTGACTTGGTAGAAAATGTTGGAAATTCTCGTGTGGGCTATGGTTAATCATTTTTTGGTTTATAAAAATGAGTCAAATGAAAAATTAGTAAAATTTAATAAAATTATGTAATTTAGTAGATTTAAATTTTATCTTAATTAGTTTAATTAGTTTTATATAGTGTGAGTCTTTGAATTAAAGGTGAGTTATCTATTTAATGTGGTATCTAAAAACTTATTAATTTATTATTAGGTTAGATCTTCACTTCTATTTAAAAAACCTCAATTTTATAAATAGTAGATCTAGAGTTAGAGAATTCTATAAATCATTAATTGTTACCATACAAAAATTCAACAGACAAAAAAAATACCTAAATTTCAATACTAATTATATATTTATTTTGTAAATTTTACATAAAATAAAATTATGATGATCTTCAACAATCCTTGACAACATACTAATTTTATATACTGGCTCTAGAGATTAATTAAGCTACCCATCTATTGATTTCATATAATATATCCATAAATATCACTATAGAATTTGATATTTTAACCTTTTAAAATCTAGTTTGTGAGATTAATTATTTAAATAAATTTCGATATAAACAAATTCTTTTATATTTGCAATAGCAGTTATGTCGTATCAATATGAAATAAATATTTGAATTTAAATTATAATATACCTTGTCACCGTAGAAATCAAAAGTCGGACTGCTTAAAAGCTTTCCGGTGCTGATATGATAAAATGACAATACAATTTGTAATAGTGTGTATGCCATTCCGATTACACATGTACCGAGTAAGTACCTGTAAGTGCAACAAAAACGTGTTAACTGAGCACAAGGCATACTAGTATGATAACGGTAGTGAAAATTGATCCTAAAAATTGTAAGGTTAATATTAGGATGACTTACCGGTAACTGTATATGTCCTTGTAACTGCGTATGTCGTTGAAATGAATACACTCGCCGTCGAGCTCGAAATAATCAAAGGTCCCAGTATCGGTGGTGAGGACAACTAGTGCCGCCAATAGAAAGATGATGGTCAGGGGCTTCAGTACGAGGGTAATAAGGCGGTGACTCCTCGGAGGGGGCGGCGGCGGCGGCGGCTGCGGCTGTGGTTGATCCATTTCTCTCCTGATTCTCTCTGTGATCTTTTCTTCTAATTGTCTTTATCAAACTTTGATTATGTAAATTAC